TTAAAAAGAAAAAATTAAATATAAAAAAAGCTTAAATAATGCAGAACTGCATAAAATTAAAAGTAACTACCTGCCCACAAAAACATCTAATGAGACTGCTTAGAGGTAACCACAGTTAACAAACTGGTATGCATCTTTCCATACTATTTTCTAGACAAAGACAAATCAGCTATTTATAAAATTAAAATATTATGTATATTTTTGAAAACCCTGCTTTTTCACTTATATTTTAAGAAGATTTATTAATGTTAAAACAAAGATCAACCTAATTTTTGGAAAACAACTACATATTGTCTTTATGTTTATTTAGATTGATTCTGACTTTTCCCTATTAAAGCTATGCACCAATGAACATTCTTATATATGTAAATATGTGTATTTGTACAGATACTTCTGTAAGGTCAATTTTAGACTGGAATAGTTAGATCAAAGGTTATGTGTACTTTAACTTTGACAAAATAATATGGTATCACTTTTAGATTTAGGTTTTTAGAGCAGGCACTAGTCAATCAGGAAAAAGAAAGGTTTGTGAAAAGCAATAAAAATCAGAGAACAAAGTAAAAAGTGGGCCTTGAAAAAATGTCTTATACCATGGCACTAATTCAAATCACAACTGCAACTTTTTTAAAAAGCATTTGCACTCAATGTTTATTCTCTCAAGACAACTGAAGAACCAGCTGGGATCCCAATCAAGGCCAGATTTCTGGGTTATATAGTTACATGTTACTTTCCTTCAAAGTTTGTCATTTCTATGATTATCTGATTAGTGTTGGCCTCTTCACTTCTGTAACTACATGAAAGCAGGAGCAGTGTCTGTTTTTCACCCACCAATCTCTCCCCTTAGAGTCTGCAGAATGCATTACACAGTAGGGAACCCTCAATAAGTATTTGTGAATGAATTAGTATGACAGTGATTCTCTTTAAAACTAAGGTTAAGTTACCATCCTGTTCTCTGGGCTCCATGATAATTCAATATTAAGCCAAATTCTCCTTCCTTCCTCCCTCTTTTCTCACATATACTATACACACCTCCTTCACTTCTCCTAGCATTGCTAACTTTCTATTACTCCAGGATCTAATTTTTTGAGAACATTTTCACTAGCAAAAAGAATCTTTTTTTGCATCACTTCATTATGGCTTTAGTTTAATAACACTGTATTTTCTACCTTTATTTAATCTTATTTACTTGTAATTATTATTCTAAATAATGACGCTCGTCTTCATTCACCTATACTATACGCTTATCGCTTATGACCATTTTATTTTTATTTTTATATTTTTAAAAAATATAGCTTTATTGATTTCAGAGAGAAGGGAGAGGGAGAGAGATAGAAACATCAGTGATGACAGAGTCGCCACTGATCGCCTGCCTCCTGCACAATGGGGATCGAGCCCACAACCCAGGCACGTGCCTTGACCGGGAATTGAATCACAATCTCCTGGATCCTAGGTCAATGCTCAACCGCTGAGCCATGCCCAGCCAGGCTGGTGGTCCACTTTTTATGATCAAGCCTGCAACCCGGGCATGTGCCCTGACAGAGAATCGAACCCCGATCGTCTGGATCCCAGGTCAACGCTCAGCCACGCCCAGATGGGCTATGGTGGTCCACTTTTTAAGCAAGATTTCTTTTCTTTTCCTTTAAATCTCCACTGGCCAACCTGTCATTCTGGATATTTATAGCAGCTAATCAATCATTTCAATCTACCTCAGATATCACTAACTTAAGAGAAATGGAATAAACTACTGATTCAAATTTGTTTAATCAGGAAAATTGTGTCAGGGAGTTACAACTGTTTCAAATAAATCTGAATTCAATGGGTGGCAAATTATTCTGCTAGAAGAATGTGGCAGAGAAAAAAACCAATAGTACAACAAGAATAAAGTTAAGTTTATAAACTTACCTCAGAAAAAAACCCACTGTATTTTGATGATGCACTTTCTGTCTGTGAAGAACCAGAATCACTGGAGTTAAGCAAATATGTTCGACTATCATGGTGTAATTTTTCAGGCAGGTGGCCTGCGCAAGCCAGTTCATTTTCTTTATTTGCCATGTCACAGCCCCCACTTCTAGGGGACTGTTTCTTTTTAGAACAAGAATTTGGAAAAGGATAATGACCTTCTTTCTGTGGAAGATCACCTTCCGTAGTTCNACTTTCTTTCTGTGGAAGATCACCTTACGTAGTTTATCTGGGTTTTTCACAGCTTGTCCAACTGTTCTGTAAAAATGAAAAAATAACAACAAAAACACACATCAAAACCTTTAAAAATTTTTAAACAGAAAGATTTAATAGGTCACACTGTGTGATTACAATTGAGTAAAAATAGAAGTAAACAGAATTTTTAAAAATCTTAAATTTTAGATCAAAGTGGGAAATTACAAACCATCTAAAAAGTAATGAAAAGGATGATACTTTATACCAAATGAAAATAAAAAGTGGCATAATGACTAGATGCTTTTAAAATAAAATATTACAGGCCATTCTGGGAGTAAGAAAATTATAACAATTTCTAGTCACCTAAACTTTTTCTAACAAAGTGACAAATAATTATACATATTTGAATATTTTAAAGTTTATTTTCATTAGGTTGAAGTATATTTAATTTTATTTGAATAAGAAACCACAATAGAGCACATTTCAAGGTTTAGTATAGTGTTTCTCAAATATTTTGGCCTCAGGATGCTTTGTACTCTTAAAAATTCTTGAGGTCTTCTGAACACACTTCTCCCAAGAAGACAGAGAAATGGCTAACAGATATATAAAAAGATGCTCAATTTCACTAGCTATTAGGAAAATGCAAATCAAAACTACAATGAGATACCACCTCACACCTGTTAGAATAGCTATTATCAAGACAAGTAATAAGTGTTGGAGAGGTTGTGGAGAAAAGGGAACTCTCATTCACTACTAGTAGGAATAGAAACTGGTACAGCCACTATGGAAAACAGTATGGAAGTTCCCCCAAAAATTAAGAATAGAGTTACCACCCTAGCTGGTTTGGCTCAGTGGTTAAAGTGTCGGCCCTGGGACTGAAGGGTCCTGGGTTCGATTTGGGTCAAGGGCACGTACCTCAGTTGCAGACTCAATCCCCGGCCCTGGGTGGGAGGCAGCCAATCAATGACTCTACATTGATGTTTCTCTCTCTTTCTCTCTCCCTTCTACTCTCTCTCTCTGAAAAGCACTGGAAAAAATATCCTCAGGTGAAGATTAAAAAAAAAAGAACAAGCACAGAGTTACCATATGACCCAGCAACCCCTCTTCTGGGCGTCCACCCAAAAAACTTGATTTATTCTAAAAGATATATGTACACCCATGTTCACTGTAGCATATTCACGATGGTGAAGATATAGAGACAACTGAAGTGTCCTTTGACAGATGACTGGAAAAAGAAGATGTACATATATACAAAGGAATACTACTCAGCCATAAGAAAAGATGAAATACTGCCATTTCTGACAACATGGATGGATCTTGAGAATATCATGATAAGTGAAATAAGTCAGACAGAGAAAGTTAAGAACTATATGACTTCCCTCATATGTGGGATATAAAACTGAAAGCAACAAACAAACAAACAAGACAAACAAACAAAACTCATAGACACAGATAACAGTGTGGTGGTTACCAGAAAAAAGAGTGGTGGGAGGGTAGTAAAGGGTAGAGGGAGTCGATTATACGGTGATGGAAAAAGACTAGACTTTGGTGGTGAGCACACAATGCAATATACAGATGATGTATTAGAACTGAACATTTGAAATCTATATCATTTTATTAACCAATTCACCCCAATAAATTTAATTAAAATTTTTTTTAATTCTTGAGGTCTCAAAATAATTTTTTTTTTATGTGGAAAATACTGATATTTATTATGTTAGGAACTAAAATTGAGAAAATCTGTTAACTCATCTAAAACTAATAGCCTCATTAGAGAGTAACACAGAATTTAAAAAAAATATTTTTATTGATTTTGAGAGAGAGAGGAAGGGAGAAGGAGAAACAGCCATTTAAGAGTGGAACATCAATCCCCCCACTGGGGATTGAACTCACAACCCAGGCATGTGTCCTGACCAGGAATTGAACTAGCAACCTTTTTGGTGCTCAGGATGATGCACAACAAACTGAGCCACAGAGGGCCAGGGCTAACACAGAATATTTTATAAAATCCTGTGTGTGTGTGTATATATATATATATATATATATACACACACACACACACACATAGTGAGAAGAATGGCACTGTTCTACCTCTTTGCAAAATCTCTAATATCTGGTTTAAGAAAAGACAGCTGTATTCTCATTATCTGCTTTTCCATTCAATCTTATTATATCAAATGTAGCCTCTGGAAAACTCTACTGTACACTTAGAAGAGAATATAAATGAAAACGGTGAATAATGTCTTGGTATTAATATGAATATAGTGAACTCAAAAACCTTGAAAGTGCTTCAGGGACCCCCAGGGTCCTCTGATCACATTTTGAGAGGCAGCAGTTTGGCAGATCTGAGAATGAATGCCATTTTAACCACTTTCTGGGTGTATAACCCTGAACAAATCACTTAACTTCTCTGATCTTTAGTTTTCCTCATCAATTATTAGGGAGTATGAAACCTACGCAGTAGGACTGTTGTAAGGACTAGAGATAATATTGGTATGTTTAGCACAGTGCCTAGCACAAAGGAACTATCTGATAATAAGTTAATTATTATAATAAAATAGTTATTTTTTCCCTACTTTTACCCAGCTTTCAATATTTTCTGTTTCCCACAAACTTTAAAGATGTTCTTACCTATTTATGTAAGCAGCCAACTGTTTTGGAGATTTCTTAACCTGAAAAATTAAAATAGATAGTTGCAGCATATTTAAGTTTTTTAATAAAGCTATATAAACTTTATGATTGATATTAACAAATCTGTGATTCAACAATTAAGTTTTTCAGATTAAAGTTTTTTTCAGTTTTAATGCTCTATCTCAATCATTAGTTACAACAACATCTCCTATTTTCCATGCCACTAGTAACATATTAAAGGGTACTTAATAAGTTGAATTTTAATGTGATTTAAAAGAAATTATATCAATGCTCATATGCCTTGCAATGGTGAACAAAAAGCACCTCTATGATTCCTCTTTAATATTAAAGTATTAGAATTATATCCTATCAAACCAGTATACTGGACAAAAAGTTTTTAGCTTTCAGAATATAAAGTTTTCAATATTTTATTAATTCTACTTAATTATGGCACGTTAAGCAGAATTAGTACCTCTGTTCTTTAAATAATTTAACCAGAACTATCCATAGACCTAACAGTTTAAATTACCTGTGATGAAACAAAAGACTGTCTCCCCCAAATTCAAGTTGAAATCCTAACCCCCAGTGATGATATTAGGAGGTAGGGCTTTGGGGAGGTGACTGGGTCATGAATGAGATTAGTGCTCTTACAAAAGAGACCCCAGAGAGCTCTCTCACTCCTTCCACCATGCTAAGACATAGCGAGAAGACAGCCATTTATGAAGCAGGAAGTGGGCCCTCACCAGACACCAAGTCTGCCTGGACCTTGATCTTGAGCTTCCCAGCCTCTAGAACTGTGAGAAATAAGTTTCCGTTGTCTGAAGCCACCCAGTCTATGGTATTCTGTTATGGTATTCTTAGCCTGAATAGATTAAGATACTGTCTTACCTGTTACCTAGAAACCATGGACTTACCTCCTTCATGTTCTTATTAGTAAAATTAGAGATCCTTTTTCTAGGAAGATCAATGGAATGATCCTCAATATTATTATAAAAGTTCCGTTTTTTAACATTGTGGGTTTCAGATGCCATAATCTCTTAAATACCTAGACAACAAAATAAAAATAATAAATGGAAAATACAAAAAGCAAAAGAGCCTGATCATTTCCTTAATACACATATAAAAATACAACAACAGCTCCTCACCATATAAAAAAGGCTTATGAGTAAAGCAGGGAACACATTCTAATTTATAAATTTTTAAAAACCTTAAATACAGAGGAAGCACAGACAGGGCATTTCAGGAAACTAAGGCTCTTTCTGTTCTCATTCTTTTTAGTTGCCACCAGTAAACAATAACATGGCATGTATTTTGGGTCAACATAAAATGTCAATCTCCCAATTTTCCATCATCACTAGCCATATATTAAATTTAAATTTACAGGTCATGAAATGAGGTCTATATGTATAATAGTAATATTTATGGCATCTAATTCTACAGAAGCCTAAAGTTTTGGAACAAAATTACATATATCACCACAAGCAGCCAGAAGAACCAAAGTCAAACTATATATATCTGACTTGCTTATTCCAAATCCTTACATTTTTCTTTCATTCTTGCAGCTAGCTCTCCAAAGCTTTCTTCTACCTTTGAAAAAATAATCTACACTCTCCTATTCCTCCAATTATATCTGATCCATGAACAGCCCTTCCACCTGTACCCCCAGGTTAAGAAACCTCTCAGGTGAGACTTTTAAAAAAGTAACTAACTACAGCAATACAATAAGCACTGACAGAGGGCCACCCATGTGAGTGAGCAAAGCTTCACTAAGGAGAGTCTTAAAGGACAAACAGCATGTGAAGAATTGAAAGGCATGAAGCAACATGGTTTGTTTAGCATTATCTTAAGCAGATGCATGTGCCCGGAGCTTAGGCTAGGGGTAGATTGCAGCAGAGTGAGAAATGAGGCTGGAAAAGAGAGGCAGAAGCTAGATCATAAAGGGTCTTGTGTCCACCAGGTAAGCTTTTTATTTTTTCCAATCCTCACCCGGGGATATGCTTATAGATTTTAGAGAGGGGATGAGAGAGAGAGAGAGAGAGAGAGAAACACTGATGTGAGAGAAAACATCAATTGGTTGCCTTCCATACCGGGGATTGAACCTGCAACCTAGGTATGTGCCCACGGCAATCGAACCAACAACCTTTCAGGACAACACTCCAACCAACTGAACAAAACTGGCTAGGGCTTTTTTTTGCTTTTTTTTTTTTAAAGGAAGGGAGACATTTAAAGATAGCAGACTAAACATATGCAATTACTTCTACCCTTCCCTGAGACCCCATTACAATGGGGTCCCTGAGACCCCATTTAAAGACATAAAACCCATAAGGACAAAGAAGAGGAAATGATGGCAGCATTTTAGAACCAGTAAAGTATAAGTGATAAATGATGTGGCAGATTTGAGAAAGCCAAATCTTAAACCAGCAGCAAGGAAAGGTGAAAAGCAGAATCCCCCAAAGGTTCAGGAATCAGCAAAACTGAGGATCTCAAGAAGTGAGGATAAAAATGGGCTTAGCCTGGCCGGGTGTGGCTCAGGGGTTGAGCGTCGACCTAGGATCCAGATGATCGAGGTTCGATTCCTGGTCAGGGCACATGCCCGGGTTGTGGGCTCGATCTATTTGTCTCTCTCCCCCCCCCTTCCTCTCCCTGAAATCAATAAAGATATATTAAAAAAAAAAAAAAAAAAAAGGGCTTAAAAACAAGTAGAATGATTGATTACCCATTTAAGACACATGGATCCCTATATACCCTTCTCCATTCCAGTAAAATACTAGAGCTTTATAGTGTAGAAAATGTAAAAACAAAGTCTCTGGGATGGGAAACACCAGTCACAAATGAGGGTGAAAGGAACATATTCTAAAGGGGGGTTGGGAATCAACTGAAAGTTTACATACTAAATCTTGAGACGTCTAACCTTTTTTCTACCACTTGCCTCACAGACGCTTGCAGCCAGGCTTATACACTTCAGAAAAGAGTGCAGAAGATCAATCCCAGAGGGAAACACACACATACATACATCCATACATATCTAAAAATATTGACATCAGTGATGGTCAAAGTCCACAAAGAACTGTTTCTTGATTATGGTGGTAGTTACCCAACTGTCAGAACTATGCAATATAATGGGTGAATTTTTATTAGATGTATATTATAACTCAATAAACCTGACTTTAAAAAATCCTTAAGAGATAAGAACAAGCTGGATCCAAAACACAAATGAGACAAAAAACAAACCAACTAATACCCCTGGAAATTAATTACTATCAGAGTAGACCCTTGTTTCTGTCAAAAGGTATAATCTGATTATTACACAATCTATAAAAAGTCAACTTTTTGGAATCCAACTCATCAATAAACATGAAGTTACCTTTTTCACAAAAGAACCTTGAGAAATAAAAATAATTAGAGAAAGAGGTCTCTAATGTCATTCATATTTTTAAAATAAATAAATATAGAATGATAATCAAAAGCATAATAGTCTAAAGGTGAGGCAATGGTCCTATTTCACTAAGATTATGACATTCCTAAAGCATTAGTATCTGATTTAAGATTTTGTAAATTTTAAAAGATACAAAAACAAAGACTACTAAAGAATATCAGTTGGAAAACTAATTTTGAAAGCTTAAAATGGGTGACAATAACAACAATAATTTCCAATAAAATACTAGCTACCACCATTTTATCACTTAACACAGAACTATAGATGCTTTATATTCAGTATCTCCTTTACATTATAATTTCTGATGCAGAAATTATAATTTCCATTTTATAAATGTATTAGGTTTTAAGAAGTCATTTGCTCTAATGTACCAAAGATGTTTCATGTTTATTTCAGGCCAAACTTTGCCTGATCAGTGGAGGATGAATGATAAAATATCTCATCTCAAGGCTCTGTGTATTTGCTGTCCTCTGTATCTGAGGAACGCTTTCCCCTCATATAGTCTTATGGTTTCTTCCTTAGTGGCTTTCCCTGACCCACACTCTAAAATAGCACCTACCTTCACTCCCCTATCTCCTTACCCTACCCTACCCTACCCTACCCTACCCTATTTTTCTTGATAATACTTGCCACTACTAGATATATATGTCTTTCTGTTTATTATGTCTTCTCTACTAGAATATAAGCTCCATGAAAGGTAGAACCTTGCTTGTGTTCACTCTTATATTCCCTGGACCTAGAACACCGTCCGACACATACAAAGTGCTCTATATATACATGTTGAATGAATTAGTAACAATTCCATTTTATACTATGTAAAAATGATAATTTTGAAACAGCTTTCACCTGTCTTTAGTTCAACCTTTTTTAGTACAAACTACCAGAATCCTTTATCCATAGACTAACCCTGTTTATTACACACACACACAATTTTTAAAGTCTATAGAATTTGAATATTTTTCCTTTAGAAGATAACATTTATTGATAGTCTGTCTCCCTTTTATATGGAAAAATATTCATTTCTTCATAGGTTAAAAGTTTTTTGTTTAGCCCGGCCGGGCATGGCTCTGCGGTTGAGCGTCGACCTAGGATCCAGGCGATTGGGGTTCGAGTCCCGGTCAGGGCACATGCCCGGGTTGTGGGCTCGATCAATGGCTCTCTCCTCATTGATGTTTCTATCTCTCTCTCTCCCTCTCCTTTCCTCTCTCTGAAATCAATAAAGATATATTTTTTTTTTTTAAAAAAGGTTCTTTTAAAGAACATTCAATGTTGCATTTTTTTTTAAAGAATGAAGGACTTTACATCATCAGAAAAATGCAAGTCAAAACCACAATGAGATACTACTTCACAACCACTAGACCAGCTATAATAAAAACAACAGACAATGAAAAGTGTTGGGAAAGATGTGGAGAAACTAGAACCCTCACACATTACTGTGGGAATAAAAAATGGTACAGAAGCTCTGGAAAACAGTTTGCCAGTTTGTTAAAATGTTAAATACAGATTTACCATACCATCCAGCAATTCTACTCCTACATACTTATTTATGTGAAATGAAAGTTTATGTCCACAGAAGACTTGTAAGCAAATGTTTATAACAAAATTATTCAGAATAGCCAAAAACATGATAGACTCAAATGTCTATCAACTAGTAAATGGATAAACAAATGAGTTATATCAATTTAGAATACTACTCAGTATCAAAAAGGAATGAAGTACTGATACATGCTATAATAAGTATGAACACCATGCTAAGTGAAGAGAGCCAAAAACAAAAGATCACATAATATATGATTCCATTTATATGAAATGCCCACAAAGGTAAAATCTAGAGAGACAGAAGTAGAGCAATGGTTGCCTAGGGCTGGGGTAGGAGTGGGAGTAACTGGAAATGCACACAGTTTCTTTGGGGGGGTATATTCTAAAATTTGATTGGGCTGGTGATTGCATAATTTTGTATATAATCAGTAAACTGTATATATACTTAAGGTGAATTTTATGGTAAGTTATATTTCAATAAAGTTCAAAAAGGTGAAAATTTTAATGATCAAGTCTCTTTACAAAGGATTTTTACACTATAAATTCCATTTTGCTTTATGCCTTATAAATTTGGTAGTCAGTAACTTTCTTGGGCAATAATATAGGATTATTCTTTCCCCAAGAGCATTTGACAGTGCTACTCAAATAGTTTAAAGCAATTGTTGAGGCTCTTAGGTATTTCCAAAGTGCCATTTGATAATATACAAAAAGAGAATAATCAGAAATAGGATCAAGAGTGGTTGAAGCCTGGTCGACATGGCTCAGCGGTTGAGCATCGACCTAGGATCCAGGAGATCGAGGTTCGATTCCAGGTCAGGGCACATGCCTGGGTTGAGGGCGCCATCCCCAGCAGGGGCTGTGCAGGAGGCAGCCAATCAATGACTCTCATTATTGATGTTTCTATCTCTCTCTCCCTCTCCCCTTCTCTGAAATCAATAAAAATATATTTTAAAAAGAGTGGTTGAAAACACTAATTATAGAAAATAGAAAGAATAATCTTTTAATGAAAAAAATAAAAGGAAACAAGGCTTTGAGAGATAAAGCAAGGGTAGGAGATATTAAGAAGAGAC